TGAGCGCTCTCAACCAACAGCCAAATCAACCTTTTGTTATTAAAAAGGAATCTGAAAAATACTCAGATGCCCTCTGATTTTTTTTCGTATTTTTCTTCCAACATTTTTCCATATACTAAAAAAAGTCACAAGAGGACTTTGGACTTGGAAATAATCTTCAGTAGTCAAGTTTATTAAAATCAGGTCCAAATGACATTTATTAAAAATAAAATAAAATAGGGGCACCTGGGTGGCTCAGTTGTTAAGCGTCTGCCTTCAGCTCGGGTCATGATCCCAGGGTCCTGGAATCGAGCCCCGCATCGGGCTCCCTGCTCTGCAGGAAGCCTGCTTCTCCCTCTCCCACTCCCCCTGCTTGTGTTCCTTCTCTCGTTGTGTCTCTCTCTGTCAAATAAATATATAAAATCTTTAAAATAAATAAATAAAATAAAATAAACCTCTCTACAATGGTTGTGAAACACACACCCACTACATTGATAATCGGTAACATTTTAACCAGAACAGAGAACACTCTCTTGCTACCTGCTTCCACACCAAAAGTGAGGACAGCTATGATGATGACATGGCTTTGAAACAACATCATAAGTCACCATAAGCATCCTTTCAGCTCATAACAACTCAATTAACTTGCGCTCCCTTCTGAAAATGAGCAAAAATCATATTCTTTCCAATTTTCCCAGCAGGAATTTTTTATTTAACCTGAACTGTGTCTAAGTGTGTCTTAGATTCTGCCAAGGTGGTTCCCAGGTGAGAGGCACCGAAATGTCTCTAAGGAGTTCTGCTCCATCCAAGAACACTTACCAAAGGGTAATCCACCTTCTCCTGCCCCTGTTCTCTCTCTGCTAACTACAACTCTCTTCCACCCAGAAAGAAGCTGAGCGCCCCTCTCCCCGCAGCACCTTCCCTGTCTTTGCTGTTCCAGACAGAGCTGTATTGGGATGGAACCTAACATGGGGCAAACATTAGGCGTGGCTGTCGCTTCTCATAGAGATGGTGTAAATTTCAACACCTCGCGCGTCACTTAAACTTTCCAAAGAATTTTGCCCGTCTTAAAAGAACATAGCACTTTAAAAAGTGGCCTCTGTTATTTGATTATAGGTCCACACTCCAGCCAGTTTAAACAGCAGACTTTAACAAAGACAACCTCTTACACTTACTGCCGTTCTTGGAGAGGACAGTCTCCAGTGACAACAGAGAGCTTTGAGTGGTGGACAGGCTTTGCAGAGGCACGGACTGCTGTGCTTACAGAGGAGGTGGATGGTGCTACATCCCAAACACACATTTCCCCTCACACACTCGCTCAGGCTTCGGGTCCCCATTGTCTGCCCTTACGAAGGTTCGAGCTTTTTGACCCAAAGCAAGGGGTGGCCAGCAGGGCAGGAGACGCTTTAGGTTTCTCTAGAACGAAAAAGAAGCCCGATGCACACATCTCCTGGGGGTGAAAAGGAGTCACTAACACACTCACACACACAAGCCCCTTTAGGCGGAGACAAGAGTGGTTGTTATGGTGGACGCAAGTTGCTCCCCAAGTATGTCCTGAATGTGGGAGGCCACAGCAGCTGCCTTCCCGCGAGACAGCCCGCAGGGCTGTTGCCAGGAGCTATAATGACTTGCTGGCCCTTGCCAGCCGTCACACTTTGCATGCCACCGGAGCTCCGGTCCGGTAGAAGGGGCCATCCAAGTCACCAGTTTCAACAAGCGCCAAATCCTGTGCCCATGCTGGGCCCGCATGGCCACCCAGAACCCTCTTGTAGGGCTCCATGGAGAGCACTTCAATGCACGCTGACCAGCATGTCCGGCTGACAGTGTCCTTGGCCGGAACAGAAGCGTGGTGGGGTCAAGAGCTAAAGGGAACCCTCAGGGACACTCCCAGGAAAGAGGGGCCCTTTGAGGGGGAGAGCAGCCTGCATCTTTCCAACTCTTTGATTCTTAGGGCGCCCCTGCCCATGGATGGGAAATGTCCAGGGTGCTGTCTGGCCACTCTGTCCCAGGCATTAGCTTCTGTCTCTCTCACTCACTTCCTCTTCCTGCTGGCAAGGAAGGGCCCCTGCCCCGCATGCGGACAGAGGAGGAATGCCCCAATACGGTACCTCCGCTGCAGGACAGAGGGGTCCCCAGAGTGAAGGTGGGCATCTAGTGCAGGGTTCACCAAGGTGGGATCCCAGGAGCCCTCTCTTCTGGGACTTGGCTGGAACCTATCAACTGGTGGATACTGGCTTGGCCTGGGCTGGTCCCTCTGTCCTATCCCCCTGGTCGCCAACCCTCCCCATCATGGCCTCCTCTTGGCTTGCTGGAAGCCTGGTCCAGCTGGAGGGAATTCTAAAAGCCAGCTCCTGATGGTGCCACTCTGCGTCTCCTGTCTGAAGGTGCACCGTCAACCCCAGAAGCCCACTGCCCCCCGGGGAACCTCAGGTATTCCATCTACAGCAGGGATTTTTAAAAAATGCTCAGCTCACAGGGTTCTGGGGAGAACCAGATGTCTATAAACATGCTTTGAAAAGCAGAATGCTTCTCAAATGGGTAGTGAGTTGCTCACCTTCTTGGAATTTCTGAGGTTGATTTGCTTAGTCTCTCTCCTTCCTGTCCAGTACATTTCTGCTTAGAGACTCAGCTCCCCACTGCCCAAGGTTTCTGTCTCTCTTCCCACGTGACCTCTCCAACACTTTGTCAAGTCAAGGCCTCCTGAGGACCAGGGGGCCCTACCAGGGTCCTTCCCTCTCCATGAAACCTATAGGAAACTCCTGGATTAAAGCATGTCGGGAGTTTGAACATCTCAAGGGATGAGCCTGTGAACTAGGGAGATCTCAGACCCATCCCTAGACACCCCCCAGACACACAGTAGTAGCAAAGCCCTGTGCTGGGCTTCGGAAGGATACAGAAGTGAACAGGTGGTCCCCACCCTCAAAGCAATCACACCCAAATGCGGAGATGATCTCCAAATAACACAATTTAGGCCACAGGGACACGCTTTCGATGGTTTGTCAAACGTGATGAGAGGTGGGAAAGATGAGAAATCATCAAGGCTTCAAAAGGAAAGTAATATTGGAATTGAACCAAGACATGGGCAGGATGTTGCAGAGAGAGCTAGAGGTCAGAAGCAGCGATCAGAATGAGCCTATGGAGCAAATGTTGGTGGAAGAAAATGGAAACGAAGCAGCCCTGAAATCAGCAAGCCCAGCCAATAGGTTCCTCGAGCTGGATTCAGTTTCCATGATGGACAGACGTCCCTCTTCTTGCCCCAAAGAGGACCAAGATGGAAAAGCTCATTTTCTTTCTGTTACCCTTGACATCACGCTGTCCAACAGGACTTTCTGTGACGAAGATTATGTCCTCTATCTGTGCTGTCCAATTGATGTGCTTCTAGCCACCTGGAACTGCTAAATGCTCAAACAATGCTGGTGCAACTCAGAAACTAAATTTCTAACTAGATTTTATTTTAATTAATTAGATTTTTTTAAAGATTTTATTTATTTATTTGAGAGAGGGAGAAAGAGAGAACACAAGTGGGGGGAGGGGCAGAGGGAGAGGGAGAAGCAGGCTCCCCACTGAGCAGGGAGCCTTACACTGGGCTTGATCCCAGGACCCTGAGATCATGACCTGAGCCGAAGGCAGATGCCTAACCGACTGAGCCACCCAGGCGCCCCAATTAATTAGATTTTAATAGCCACAGAGGGCTAGTGGGGGGCAGAGGTTTAGATACCAAAGCCCTCTTCTCCGTGCCACTTTGCCATGCTGTGATGACAGGCTGCAGTAGTATGCCCAGGCATTGGGGTAGAAAACTTCCAGAGCCACCAAGTAATGTCATTTGGGGAAGAGAAAGATACAGTCCCACCCTCAACAGATATGAGCGTGTGGGTGGATTTTTGTTTGGCCAATTTCTGTGTGGTTTTTGCTTCAACAAGAGTGGAGTCACTGGTAGAATGACTACATATCCCTTTTGGGGAGGAAAGGTACCTGACCCCCAAAGCTCCTAAGTCCCTTAAAAACCTTTCAATCAGAGGGAGGGGAGACAGAGTGGCCAGGAGTAACTATTCTAATACTACTAGTCCCTGAGCCTAGAAATTTGGTCCTCAAAACCTGGCCAGAAATCACACATTTAAAATTCGAAAAAAATGTATGTTACACCCATGTTCGGTGCAGCATTATTCACAAAAGTCAAAAGGTGGAAGCAACCCAAGTGCCCATCTATGAAGAAATGAGTAAATGAAATATGGCGTGCACACACAATGGAATATCATTCAGCCTTTAAAAGGAAGCAAATTCTAACAAGGGCTACAACATGGATGAACCTTAAGGACACAAGCCGGTCACTAAAGACAAATGCTTTATGATTCCACTTAAAGTCAAATGCATAGACAGAAGAATGGTGGTTGCCAAGAGTTGCACAGGGGGTGCGTAGGGAGTCACTGGTTAATGAGCACCGAGCTGCAGTTTTGCAGGATGAGGAGTTCTGTGATTGGTTGCACGGCAGTGCGAATGTACTAAACACCACTAAGTGTATACATTACAATGCTTAAGATCGTAAATATTATGTTGCTTGCCTTTGACCACAATTGACGACATGCACGTGTATACAATAAAGCAGAGGCAGAGAGGAGGAGGCAGTGCAGCCAGTCCTCCAGGAACAAACGCATCTCACCCCAAAAGGCGCCGTCCCTCCCCTCCCTCCCGGGGGCCCGTCCTGTGACACTCACCCCAGCGCGCACAATAACCTTCTTGAGCGGTGCCAGCCGCACCTCCGCGCCGGCTGAGGCGGGACGGCCAATGAGCGCGCGCCTGCACCCGGCCTCGCGCCCCCATTGGCTGCGCCCAGCGGCCCGCGGCCCCGCAGGTTCCCAAGCCGGGTTTAAAGCGGTCGGAAGCGCGCTGCTGCGCTGCCATCGGCTGCCCGCGCGCAGGTCGGCGGGGAGGGGCGGCCTGCCGAAGGGCCCACCCCGGGGCGTTCCTGAAGGGCGCCCTCGGCCGCCCCCACCGCCCCCCAAATGTACTATGCGCTTTCCCAGGCGCGCGTGAACGCGGCCCCCGCGACCATGCTGCGGCCACAGCGGCCCGGAGACGTGCAGCTCGGGGCCTCCCTGTACGAGCTGGTGGGCTACCGGCAGCCGCTCTCCTCCTCCTC